GTCGAAGCTCCAGTGCGTGCTGCAGGACAAGGTACACTTCAAAAGGCGGGGGCGCCCTGCCAAGATTTGCCTCCACGATGACGATTTCCTTCCCCCCTCCCCCTCTCCTCAGGGGCAGCGTCAAGGAGGGAGAGGATCAGGGGGGGATGATCCATCGACCCCCAATGGCCCATTCGTCGCCGATAGGGGCCCCATGGCCCACCCAGCCTAGGAACGTGCGGATTCGCCATCAAGGCTCTACCGCCAATCAGTCGGCGATATATCGCCGATTCCCAGTCGAAGGTTTCCCCTCTTGATCCCCGCCTGAGCTGGTCTCCCCCCTTGAAGTCCCCCGTGACCGACGAGGAGGATGATGAGGAGGAGGCGGGGGTGGAGGACGAGGAGGAGGACCAGGGTAAACCCAAGACGCAGCAATAATGATGTAAAATCCCCTCCGTTCTCTCTTCATTGGTCATGACCGTGTTTTTTTTTTTTTTTTTTTCCTCGCGGGAAGTGCCCCAGTGGACGACAACTGTTTAAGAATTCTCAGTTGTGACAAAACACCTTTCCTTGGACTTCAGTACCGCAAATCAACCTTACCCTTGCGTTCTGACAATCCAGAATCGTGCCAGAACACCATTCTTGGGACTGCCACAACGAATGAATGTGACTGTTCTGTTCTGGTAGTCCTACATCGTGCCAGGACACCGTTCCTGGGTCTTCAACAATACCAATCCCTGAAGGTGTTGCGAACTTCTATGACGAATGTGCGCGGCGCGAAGGCGAGCGCCATGTTTTGAAAACCACCAGCCCTCCATCCGTCAAGCTGTTGCAAATGTCAATGTTCAGGATCATACATGGTGAGGGAGTCTCAGGCGAAACGCCCGGCCCGCCCTACCAATCCGTCCAGGGGTGCGATAGGGAGGAGTTATTTTGCAGGTGGCTGAGGAGGAGAAGGAGGATGAGGATGAGGATGAGGATGATGATGCTGATGATGATGATGATGATGACGATGATGATGATGATGATGATGATGATGACGATGACGATGACGATGACGATGACGATGACGATGATGACGATGATGATGATGACGATGATGCTGATTGATGATCGATGATTTATGATTGATGATGATGATGATGATGATGATGATGATGATGATGATGATGATGATGATGATGCTGATGATGATGATGATGATGATGCTGATGACGATGATGATGATGATGATGATGATGATGATGATGATGATGATGATGATGATGATGATGATGATGATGATGATGATGATGTGATGATGATGATGATGATGATGATGATGATGATGATGATGATGATGATGATGATGATGATGATGATGATGATGATGATGATGATGATGATGATGATGATGATGATGATGATGATGATGATGATGATGATGATGATGATGATGATGAGGAGGAGGAGGAGGAGGAGGAGGAGGAGGATGAGGAGGAGGAGCTCTTCCTCCCTCTCCTGCTGCTCCAGCTCCAGCCCCCGCTCCACCTGCAGCTGCTGGCCGTGGTCCTGGCCCTGCTGCTCCTCTCTCGTCCTCGTCCTGCTGCTCCTCGTCCCTCCTCCTGCTGCTACGCAGCAGAGGCTAAGCGTGTCGAGCGGTGTCGGAGCTCGATTCACGAATCGTGAGGGACGATGCTTGGGATCTCCCCTCGATCTCACGGTGGGGTTTGTTAACCTCCGTGTTTCAGGAGGGTAGCCAGTACTTGGTGCTTGGTTCCCAGATGGGCGTTGGCACACACGAGACTCTAGACTCCCTCCTCTCTCCTCTCCCCCCCAGACCTCGCTCCCCTCCGTGGGCGCGCGGAAGGCCGACCTGGAATGTTAGAATCCTGGAGACCTTCCTCTTCGGAGGAAGGCGCGATTCCGAACTCCTTCGATATCGATCCGACTCTCATAACGTTTACGATCCGATTCCGATTCGAGCTCCGGCTACATATTCTATGGACTTGCGCCACATCCGCCGACCCCTCCATAAACTACTGCGCGTCCAGAACTGCATTCCACGAGGCTTGCCCGATTCCTGGAGGTTCTTGGGGGCGTTCGGGAGCTCTGTTCGGGCTCCCTTGGGGCTTCTTGGGGCGTGGTGGGGGCTTCTTGAGGCAACCTGGGGGCGTCATGGGGCCGAAGGCTGGAAATGTGGGTTTGGGTTCCTTTTGGCGACGTCCAGGGGCCCTCTGGCCGTCGTCGGGGCTTCTGTGGCGGTCTTGGGACCCTTGTGGGCCGTCTTGGAGCTGTCCTGGGAGTCTTTTGGGCCGCTTGCACGTTATGAAAGCGCAAGAGGCGAGTATGTTCGAAAACAACGTTCTCCTGCGGGAATGGGGCAACTTTCACTTCTTCGGTGCCTCTTGGGAGGCCTCTTGGAGGCCTCTTGGGGCGTTTTGCAGGCATTTTGGGCCGTCTGGATACCATCTTGGGCGTCTTGGAACGATCATTCGACGATTCGGGGCCCTCTTGGATCGTCTTGAGGCCCACTCGGGGCTGAGTTGGCCCGTTTTGGGGCCCTCTATGCTCCCATGACGCGTTCGTCCGGGGCCGGGGTAGGGGGTCAAGGGGTCCCTGGGGGAGGGTTATGGGGGGGAACAATCTCACACGCCTAGAGACCCGCAAGGGGTCGGCGGATTTTCGAGCCGATGTGGCGATTGCCGACTTGGTCCCGATATCAACAGATTCGACGTGATTCCGATTTCGATTCGTCTCCCCAGTTCGATATTGGTCATTCTTGCCTCTTCCCCTTCTATGTGAGTACCATCCAGCTGCCTGCGGCAAACTCTGCCACCGTGCCTGTGCAACAGCGCAGCAGGAAGGAGGCTAAGTGTAGGAACCGCGCAATTCCCACGAGCCGTGTGAATTGGGGCGTGTCGTGATCCCGACCTCGTCTTGGTCCGCGCGGTAGGAAGTGGATGATGATGATGATGGTGATGATGATGCTGATGATGATGATGCTGATGATGATGCTGATGATGATGACGACGAGGATGATGATGATGCTGATGATGAGGATGATGACGGTGGTGGTGGTGGTGGTGGTGGTGGTGATGGTGTCGTTGATGATGATAATGATGATGATGATGCTGATGCTGATGCTGATGCTGCTGCTGATGGTGATGATGATGCTGGTGCTGCTGCTGATGATGCTGATGATGATGACGATGATGATGATGATGATGATGATGATGATGATGATGCTGATGATGATGACGACGAGGATGATGATGAGGATGATGCTGATTATGATGATGAGGATGATGATGATGACGATGATGATGAGGATGATGCTGATTATGCTGATTATGATGATGAGGATGATGAGGATGATGATGATGATGGTGATGATGATGAGGATGATGATGATGATGACGATGATGACGATGATGATGATGATGATGCTGATGCTGATGACGATGATGATGATGATGATGATGATGATGATGATGATGATGATGATGATGACGATTATGATGATGATGATGATGATGATGATGATGATGATGATGATGATGATGATGAGGAGGAGGAGGAGGAGGAGGAGGAGGAGGAGGAGGAAGAGGAGGAGGAGGAGGATGAGGATGAGGAGGAGGAGGAGATGGAGAAAACGAGGATGAGGAGGTGAAGGCTTCTTGGTGCCTTCTTGGGGCTTCCTGGAGGTCTCCTGGGAGCTTCCTGAATGCTTTTTTGGGGCCTCCTGGGGGCCTTTTGGTCGTCTTTAGGGTTTCTTGGCCCGTCTGACGCCTATGGAGGCCGCCTTGGGGGCCTCTCCAGGCCGCGTTGGTGCCCTCGTGGAGCGGTTCACGGCCATCTTGGCGTCCTCTTGGGAGCCCCTTTGGCGTTTTTGGATCCTTTGGGCCGAGCTCGGGCCCTCTTGGGGGCCTCTTGGGTTGTTGTGGAGCTATCTTAGAGGCCTCTTGGAGGCTTCGTGGGCCGTATTGGGCGGCGGAAACCCGAACAGGTGAGAACCTCCAAATCATTCAGACAGTTATGGATAGTCAATGGTTTTGGTCTCGGGCTCTCCAGGAGGGCCTCTTGGAGACCTCTTGGGCCGTCTTGGGGGCCTCTTGATCTGTCCTGGAGCTGTCTTGGGAGCCTCTTGAGCCGTCTTGGGCCATCTTGGGCCATCTTGGCGTCATCTTGGCTGCCTTGAAACCGTCCTTGAGGTTCTGGCATGTTGGGGTTTCCGACCGCCCAGGACAGCCCAAGAGGCCTCTCTGGGCCGTCTTGTTGCTCTTCTGGTGCACTTCAAGGCCGTCTTGGGGCCCTCTTCGGGCGCCCCTTGGGCGATCTTTGGGTCCTCTTGGGCCGACTTCGGGCCCTCTTGGGGGCCTCTTGGGCTTTTTGGGAGCTATCTTGGAGGCCTCTTGGAAGCCTCTTGGGCCTTCTAGGGTGGTCGGAAACCCGAAAAGGCGAGAACCTCACACTCCTTCAAAAACCTGGGGCAAATCAAAGATTTTGGCCCCCTCGGGCTCTCTAGGAAGGCCTCTTGATGCGCTCTCGGGCCGTCTTGGGTCTCTTGGGCCATCTGGAGGCCCATTGGGCTATCTTGAGCCGTCTTGCGGCTCTCTTGAGAGGCTCTTGAGCTGTCTTGGGTCACCTTGAGCCGTTTTGTTGTCGTCTTGGCTGTCTTGGAAGCCATCTTGGCCGCCTGGAGGCCGAAAAGACTGCTTGGGAGCAATTTCAGAGGGGGCGGTTTTCAACAGGTGCGCGCTGACGGGGGGGGCGGGGTGGCCTTAGAAGACATTCGAAAACGCTCCCAGAGGGACAGCAGGAGCATTCTGACACGCCCACTCCGTGCAGGCACGGTGGTGGATTCTCCTCTCTCCACGAAGAGGGCCTGGGAGTCGCCCGCCCCCCTCCGCGCACGTTTTTTTACGCAGGATTTCAAACGTTGCTGTTCTCTTTTTCCAATCAGAACGTTTTTGGGTGCTGCCGCTCCAACTTTGGCTTCATTTTAGGATTGGCGCTTTGCTCCCGTCGTTCAGAATGGATCTCTCGCCCCAGCGCGGGCCACTATTTTCTGGATTGAGGTCTTT